ATGAAAACGTTTGTATATACTGACGTACCGATACCGACAAGAGTCCGGCTTACTCATAGAAAATTACATCATACATCTTTTCCTTTCTCGACCGACTACGCTCCCTTCTTATACGTACGTTATATTCTTATGTATATTCATTCCATCGCGGAACAAAGACGACTCGGTTCCAAAAATAGAGTGTCACGCTCATAAAGAGAAATTAACGAATGCCGTCCCTCTTAATAAGCCGCGCGGCTCCTTCGAGAAGAGAAGAGAACAAGTGTCGTACGAATAAGGGCAAAGGTTGCGCGGAGGGAAAGATGGTTTCATCTATGTACTTTATAACAAGCTAATAAAGACTGGTAATGGTGTAACGTCGATAAACAAAGAACGATACAACTGCTGTACACAATAATATCGAAATTCTGTTCCAATTGACCTGGTGATACCAGCGCCGTTCCTATTCTCTCCTTTTCTTTGTGACAATGTTAGAAACGTTAAAAAAAAAAAAAAAGAATGTATACTCGTATTTATCAAGCACAATATTCGTTCCCGTCTTTTAGTTTGGAAAGTAGAAAAAGAAAATTCTGACGATCCGGTATCCGATAAGATTCCCTTATTTTTTACGAATATCGCAAAATTAAAAACAGTATGTATAAGCAGTATGTATCGAGTGGATGTATACACATAGTTTGGGAAGGAGAGGAATCGTTAATAGATGCAACGATAGAGCAGATCTCTCACCTTTAGAGTTAGTGATCGAAACGGCACGTCCTTATAGCACCCTCGTTAAAATCGTGGAAATCGGTTGCCTCGTAGCGCACCGGTAATCCCACCGAATTGTGGGAATACCGAACGACAATCGCGGTCGTACGAGGCACACGCAAGTGGGAAAAAGTCTAAGAGTTAGAAAGAGCGTAGAGATCCGCGTGGACCGCGAGCACCACGAGCACCACCGACTCGTACGTGGTCGGTTTTGCACACTGCGCCTCTTCCTCGAAGGGTAGTTTTCAGCCCGACCGATCGATACCCGGCATCCACTCCATCCTTATCCTCCCACCGTGCTCCCTTTCGCTCGCTCCGAACCAACATAGTAGAATATAGTATAATCTTCCTCTCTCTCCATTTGCCTTTCTCCCTCTCGCTTCCTCGCCAACTTCCCCTACCTTCGTCGCGTCGCTCTCTCTCTCTCCTTTCGCTTCGATCATCTTTCTCTTTCGCGCTCCCATCCTTCCCTTCCCGAGTCTCTGTTCAACTTTTTGCCACTGAACGCTTCCATCGTTCATATCCTCCCCCCCTCCTTCCTCTGCTGCACTCTTTTCTCCTTCGCGATCCCTACCTCCACTTTGCCCAAGCTAAATGTCCCAAGCTCTCTTGTATTCACACTACACTTTCCCTTATTCCCTTTTCATTCCTTTCTTCACTCTGTTTTCTCTCATTCTGAATTTTCCTCGGTTCCCGGTCGGATTTCAAGTGTGTGCCGCGCACTTTTTACTCCCCGCTTCCACTCCCTCCTTCCCTTGTTTCTTTCATTTTCTTCCTTTCTTTTTCTGCCGCTACTGGATTTCCCTCGCCCACGTACCGGCTAATCTCAACCCTCTCGCGAACTTGTCCACACGCGTTTTTGTACGTTCGGGGGACAGAGTCAAGTAGCGGAAAGTATCGCCGAGAAGAAAGAGACGATATTTCTACGGAGTTGGACGCTTGGAATAATAAAGGAAGGGTTTGGATTAAACTACGTTATATTTAATGATGTTGAAACTTCGACTATAGCGATGAAACAAATGATAACACGTTAACGTGTTAATTATATTATCACAGTATTGGATATTAGAGAAATAAAAAAATTAAAAAAATAAAAATTATTACTATGATCGTAAAATAAACCTTCGAATATTATTCTATTTTAACAAAACTATTTCAATAATTATTTTCCCTATTCTTTGCTTAAAGATATATAGATATCCACTACTAACACGCGAAGTATGATTATTATATTAGATCTGGGAAAATATTGATTTAAATAACATAGATGAATATTTGTTTTTTTTTTTTTCTAAAATTGATAGTATCAGGTTTTAGAAAAAAATAAGATAAAAAAAAAGAAATATTTAGAATATACAAATAGATTATAATTTTTATTTGAGAAATTTTCATTTATATTTTAATATATGGTAATTGCATTTGATATTATTATGATAATTTCCAGCAAATTATTTTTTTCATGAACGACATTAGTTCTATTACATTAGTTCTGTTAAATATATATATATTTGATCGTTATAAAAATTATTATAATCACATTTCAAATTTATTTCAAGAATTGAGAACATCAATATTAAATTATAACAGTTACATTGTATGGTAAATGTATTATTATATTTTATTGTTAAATGATAAAAACTAGTAATAAAAAGAACAATGATATTTAAAATATATTAAATAATTATTAAATCATACAATAATTATTAAATCTCAAAGAACTCGATCAATAACAAGGAAGAAATAGCGAAACTTGGCAAAAAGTTGCGCACTATGCAGTTTTCACTCGATAAAATTCTTCTAATTGTAAAGAAATGGTAATTTTTTCACTGAATATTTTTAAAATTGATTATTTACTGAATTTATTATAACTAACATCAATGCGAAAAAGTATAAAAATATCATTAAGTTTTTCAATTGCGAATAAAATTAAATAAGAAGTTTGCAAGGACAAAAGAGTTGATCTTCATTTTTTTGGACTCTTGCCATTTTCTTCTAATTCTATTTTTAACTTTAATTAGTTTATTAATTAGTTATCAGAATATATCTAATAATAATTATATAAATAAATCATTTGTTAAAATTAATCATTTTTTCTTTGTAAAATTATATTATTATAAAATTTACAAAATTCAAAATATTATAAGTATATAAATGATTTCTTAAAATAAAAAATTTTTTTTTAAATTCCACTACATTTATATCTCATAGTATATATATTTTGTTAATTTTTTTTAATTTTTTTATATTATAATAATATAATAATATATATCGTTGTTTCTTAACTAGAATCGACCTGAGAGAACAAAGATTCAAAGGATTTTGCATGAAAAGGTCACGGTATTAAATGTAACGAAAGGGCACGAAAAAACGTATTTATTTGAAAACTTATTATCTCCAATAGCAAAGAAAAAGCATGATACTGTATATAAATATTTTTATAACAATTATATGTGAACATTTATAAATGAATTAATTTTCTGATTGATTAAGTATAATAATTTTATTTTAAGATTCAAATTTTGATAGAATGAACACGTTATGTTTTTTCTTATTTTTCATTTATGAATAATAATTAAAATTTAAAACATTTTAAAACGTTTGGAAGTTTTCTCATATAAATATTATTTCTAATATTATTTATAAAAATTATTATCCCTTTAATTCTTTATAAATTTCTAATTCTAATTTTATTATCTTCACTATTGTTAAATTTTAATATTTTTGCAATTAAAATTTTACAACAAATAATTACCCAAATCAATAATTATAAAAAGTCCAAAAAATTCATAATAATTTTTAATAAATTTTTATTCAAAAATAAAATTATCATATTAAAAAAATATTTGGAAACAAATTAAATGCATATATATCAAAAGCATGCATATACATCAAAATGCATATATAATGAAGAAATCAATCATCATCGATATGATATTACTGCAAAAAAATCTATAAAAAATAGAGAAATTCTAAAATTCTGTGAATTTTGTACATTTGTCAGTGAATAATTATCAGAGAATTATGATTAGGTCATGGTACTGCTATCATTCGATAACATTCTGTCGCTTTGTACGCCCCCCATAAGCTGAGTGTACATCCGCTATATAAACCACCCCCACACAGACTTCGTGAAAATACTTCTAAAAATATATAATAGTCCAGCAGGAGACGACATTAATCTATCAAGTTAAGCCAACTTTTACTTTCATTTTTCTTATGCAATTTTTTGTTATGAACTCTTTCATTGTCAATTATAAAATAAATTGTAAAATAATTGCAAAGCAAAGAAAGAAATAATGATAATGTAATAAAGTATAAAAAATTTTTAAGAACATTAATTCTCATTCTATACTTTATCAGCATTTTTATTATTAAATATATTAAATTGTTTAAGAGAAAATCTAATTCATTTCTATCACAAATAAATAAATAAATAATGAGTTTTATTATGACTATTAATTTAGTTTAATATGAAAATAATTAACAAATAAATAGTCGAAACAATCAATAATTGATATTTTATTTTTTAAAATATAAATTTTAAAACGAGGAAATTATATAAATTAATTAATAATAAGTCATATAAATCAATTAAATTATTTTATTAAAAATTTATCTTACTTAATTAGAGTAAAAATTGATTGTCAGTATAGTAGCTTTACACACATGAAAAACTAACCTATCTATTATGACTTATATTATGCTATAATATTGTTTCATTTTTTATATTGCAATCTCATTATTATTCTTTTACATAAACAACATATTATAATAAATATACATACAAATTAAAAATAAATATCACGTTTTTATTAAATCATTTATCATAATATCATTTAATCACTTATTAGAAATCTATGCAAAAAAAAATTAAATTTATAGATAACTTCATAAGAAACTATATCTATTTATAACTTTATAAAAAAATATAATATATAGATAATAAACATATCAATCATTTGCTATTTATTTCAATTGTATTTTTTTTTCGATATAATAATTTAACATAAAATATATCACTTTACTAATTACACTATTGCATTATTACATTAATCTTTTTGCATTATATGTCTTTTATGCAATATATATATATATATATATATATATATATAGATATATTAATATGCATAAGAATAGATAAATTATATACATAAAAATATACAAAATATATACAGAATGTAATAAAGTATAAAAAATTTTTAAGAACATTAATTCT